ATCAGTATGTGCTTAAGCCAACTTTCTCTGACTATCATAGAAAGAGGAGTTGGCTAAAACACAAACAGATCTGGGATCCGGCTATGTTATCAATACAAGCTCTACTCTGAACATCCTCCCATCTGTTTCAACCACATCACCATGGCACCTGTCATGCTTCCTGTCAGACAAAATGAAACAGATCTGGGATCAGGCTATGTTATCAATACAAGCTCTTCTCTGAACATCCTCCCCTCTGTTTCAACCATGTCACCATGGCACCTGTCATGTTTCCTGTCAGACAAAATGCTAACAACTGTAACAACTCTCTGATTCATCTACTTCATCTCAGCTCAGGCTTTTTATAATCCTGTCAGTGTGTCCGCATTCAAAATGACCAAATATAGATTTAAAGAGATTAAATGTTGAGACGGTTTTAAGAACAAGGTGAAAAGCGGTGAGGAATTTAAATGAAAAAATGGGATGGGTGGAAAAATACAAGGTATATAAGAGGAAATAATTAGTATAAAAAAAAGGAAAACCACCCCCCGCATACATTTGTACAATTAGAGAACACACAGTCACAGCTAGATGTTAACCAGCCATCAAATGAAGTACGGTTTGTACATCAAACTTGATCGATAACGTCTTAATTAATAAAACATAATTTTTTGGGGGAAAATAGCATTTTTATGTTTAATCAGCCAATATAGAATTAAGCATGCAAACAGATTCATAACGATAAATTATTAACTAATAGCGGCGATCTAATCTTTGCTTTTAGTCACGTAACCGTGGCAACCATAACGGTGTCTGATTAACGGTGGCTGATTAACATTGACGATGACAGCGCGACAGAACACATCAGTCGTTCAGTTGAACTATGAACGACGGATGTTACATCCTTTCGGTTTCACTGGCTGCCCTCCCCGCCATTATCACAGCAGCAGAGAGCCAATGAATCGGCTGAACGAAGCGCTTACTTTACCGTCCTCAGACCGAGATCCGACTCAATGGTAGCACAGTACAGTAACAGTAACCACATTGTGTTAAGAACCCCTAATCAAGGGAGAGCTATAGTATTAAGAATCCTCCTCCTGGTTTACCACATAGTCATACAGTAGTTTACAAAGTGCATGTCACATACTAATAAACAGTGCTTTAGGAAACCATTAAAGATAGACCATGTCCATCATATCTATTCCCAAGGCTGTTGGTTTGACACCATTCATTCTCTCGGCTGTGTTTGTGTGGGCTTGGGGACAAAGGAGGAAGGAGAGTTTATATTTTAGAACAGTGGATGACTTGTACTGCTACATAATCTTTTAAGAGTGCCCGGAATTATTTTAATTCTGGAATGAGTCTGGAATTATCAGATTTGGAGCACTCTATAACCAATCAAATCTCTTTGGATCTCTACCAAACATTCTCCTTTGAGTTTTCCCTCAAACACACAATAAAACATACCCTTAGGAACCATCAAAGAAGTACCAAGACAAAAACACACCTACTGCATCTTATTTCAACATTCACATCCCCCTGAAATACTGTGCATATATCTGTATGTCAAATATATACATATACAGTATAGAAATATACCAGGTGACAGTGACAAACCACCAATTCACCAGACAACCATTAAGATAAAACCATAATGTATAGTCCGTATGAAGATGGAGAATAGCGGGGATATATAGTCTTTACTGGATGGGTATGTTGCGGACTGAGGCAGTTTGTACGACAACAACCTTGTCCCTATCGTAGTAGTGGATACAACATTGATTAGAACATGTTGTTGAGTGGGCAAATAGTGGGCATTTGGGCAATAGATTCCAAGGGCGTGGTGAGGCTGTGGGAGTAATCTTTGGGAAGGTGGAATTTCCTTTTGTGTGGATTTGATGCATGTCTGTGTGCATCATATCAGAGATTGTATGTTTACCTGGAGTGTTCACCCTCCAACCAAACACCCTCCAACCTGTCGTATCCCTGGACGTGCTGCAGTCTACTGGTATCCATTCTAGCCATATGGTCTTGTAAAGCCATTGGATCAGTCGGTCTGTGGACTCTGCAGGGTATATTGGCAGTCATACAATACAACACTGTCTGTGACCATGCAAAGTCCACCACTACCACCACCACCACCGTGACACTGCGGAATTATAAGACCACACTCCTCACTCGCACTCAGATGCTTTTAACAACTGAAAGCTCCATCTTTACCATGGCGAGATATGGAGAACAGGGAGGAACAGTAGAACTGCTTTCCATTTGCCAATCGTGCAGACAGAAAGACCATTCCGACACAGATATGGGGTGTGGACTGGACTGGAGATTTTAAAATGTTAAACAGGGATATACTATTCTGTCTTATCAGAGAGCCAAATTAGTTCCTATTCTCCCAGCTCAGTGACCTTTTTGTAAATACACTGAGCTCTATTCATTAAATGTCCAACCACCACCAAGGTCAATTCAAAACGATTACTCTCTTCTGAATTGTTCAAACCAGCTTTTTTTTTATTAAAAGGGACAAATTTAACTAGGCGGTTTTCTGTATATGTTATGAACAATAAGTTAAGTAATTCTTCATGTTAAGTTTATAACATGAGTTTATAACACTACCCCATCATCTGATCTCCTGGGCACACACCAGCAGCAGGAAAGCAAGCAGCAAGCTCTCCAAGACCATTTACATACACCAGCTGGTCGGCATGGATATGACAGTACATCCAGGGATCCTTAGCTTTGACCAGCCAAGAGTTTTACATAACCTACATAGTGTTGTTTTAAACTCAGTGGCTTTTAATTGGTCTTTAATCTATTCATGAAGAGGGAGGGAAAGAGAGAGGGGTTGTACGTGCTTGTGAGGAAAAGCTCCACCTTCCCATATTATGGAGAATTTCTTAGAAATGATTTGATTGGGGGTTTCATGTGGGGTTTTGTATGTTGTGTAGGGGAATGCCTTTAGAGACAAGGGTGGGGTGGGGTAGGAATGCTTGTGTACTGCTTCTGCTCTTCACCACTGGAGTCAGGTCACTCACATCTTCATCTTAATCTTTGTCTTCCTCACGACTCGCCACCACAGCAAAAAAGGGGGGTCAGTCCAGGTTTGCTTCTTCGATCGGTGAAAAAAGTAGGAAGTGCTTCTAAGAGAACTGAGGAAATCATCGTCAGCCTTGACGAATTATTGTTTTGTTGTCGTTTTGACGAATATGGAATCCGGTATATAATTTGCTTCATTCTTCATTCCACTTTCTCCAGGCATCTCGTCCATTGTCCGATATCGATCCAGTCCTAAATCCTTAATTTATCATAAGTGATTGTGTTCATCCTTTAGAGTCACAGAAAGACAGACAGACCACGGATCAGTCTACCAAAAAAATGTAAAGCTATTCTCTTCCTCCGTCCATTTCATCCTTTACAACAAGGTCCCTTTTACAACGAGGGCAGGTTGGAGTCAATGAAGTGGCCAGTAACTGATCTGTAGTGGTTTTAGTCTAATGTTGGGGGTTGCAATGTAGGCTTGTTCAGTGCTATGTCATGTCAAGAGCATCATGTCTTAAAAGGAACGTTCAAGAGCCAAAAGCTTATAAAGCTTCTTAGAGAGGCTACGAAGCTTAGTAGAGTGGTTATGAAACCTTCGAGCGCAAAGGGTGTCCCATTTGTTTAGCTGAGCTCTGACCAAGTGCCAAAGCTTATGAAGCTTCTTAGGGTGGCTATGGAGCTCTGTAGAGGGGTTATGAAGCATCTTAGAGTGGCTACGAAGCTTAGAATGGTTTCAGAGGGCTGTTTCACAGCATGTCTGATGACTGAGTCTATGTTGATGAGGGACTAGGATTCAATCTTTACAAAGGTCGTCAGCTAATATTTGCGATGGCGACATTTACCGTTGAAATATTTCTCTAGCTACTGAACAATGTCGTTAATGTTAAGTCAATAATAACTATATTAGTTAAATTGTTTTAGTCTTTGTGGTATACTGTAACGTAAGTACAGCTCCCCTTTTCACACTATTAGCAATGTACTATAGAGTAAGCTTAGATTGAACATTAAGTATTAGAAAGCCTCCAGAAAGCTTCTACTGATAATATATTACCTCTTTAGATACTACGGTTGCATTCAAGTACACAAGGAAAAGTAATAATAAATTAGCAATAATGATCAAGTGCTTAAAAATATAAAAACCAAAAACAACTGAGCAATTGTTTAAAAAAAATGACATTGTTTTAAAAGCAAACTGGCCATGTTTTAGTGTTATAAGCTAAGTGTAATTATAGCTGTTCCGTTTCAGCCATTTTGTGTGAATTATAAGCGTGCAAATGCTCTGTAAGATTCACTGAAGGGCTATTGTTTGTTCGACAGTATTTTGGGATTTGGTGTTAGATAGAATAGGTCCATAAGGATTTCTACCGTTACCATGGGAGTGATGCGTTCTAAATCAATTATATTCTGTTATTTCTAAAAGTTAACCGACTCCTCTCCTCCTCACGTCATCACTTGCACTTTAGCACAACTGCCCATATGGTTTAATAAAGTGCCTCAAGAGTTGTGCAGACTAATTTGCAATTCAGAATGTGTACATATTTATACTTTATATTTACATAAAAAGGATTGAAAGGCATGATATACTTCAAGCTAGCTTGCATTTGTCTTTTTTTCTTTTTTAAAGGAATAACATTAGCATCCTGTTGTTAAGAGTTAGATTTGTGTAAATGACTGAATGGTAAAAAACTGTGCGAAACTAATTCAAACTAATTAGTCAAAAGTATTTCATGTAACTGCCTTTTTTTCGTAAAATATCTTTGTTAGCGGTAGTGTTCGAATCAAACATATTGCAAATATGATGCAGCTTCTGAGGTGTTTTGCTATAGTTGCTTAGGGAAGTTGTTGCCAATCCTTCCGAAGTTTCTTGGGGAACTTTTCCATTACATTTTCTAAAGAGAATGCGGTTCGTTCGTTCATTGGGTCTCTGGTTTCTTCCTCCATCTTGCCTCTCCTCTTCCTCGTTCCTCTTACTCTGGCTACACGATATCCGACTCGACCACGCACTGCTCCGTGTATTCCTTCACCAGCTCCACATTCAGTGTCTGGCAACAGAATTCGGCCATGGGTTTCCACATGGGAGGATCCAGGAACATCTGGCACATGACGTGCCCCTTCAGGGTGGTGGCGTGGCGCCTCAGGTGACTCAGGAACTGCTGGAGCACCAGGCCTATGTCCTTGCCAAACACGTCGATGTTGAGGTAGTATGTGTCCGTCCCAACTCCGCGAGGACCTCCGGGCACCCAGAAGGGGTGGGTGCACAGGCTGACCACGGCAGGGGTGTAACGGTCGTCCACCATCCAGTCGATGTCCTTGAATGAATAAATTAATCCATTTTATTTGAGAAATTTGAAATTCGTATAGAGCTGCCTCAGCCATGGGAGTACAACAATACATTTTTTTTAAATCATCGATGATTAAAAACACAACGTTTTCTGAAAGTGATCCTCCTGTGATTATTATCTTACCTTCTTGAGAAGAATGACCATGTTGCTGGGCACGGGCTTGAACGGCTGCCAGTCCTGGACGATGGTAGCGTTAGGGAGCACGTTGGACATCAGGGCCTCGTTGAGGAACATCTGGTGGGCCTCGTTGAGGTCCAGAAGGACCGGGGGAACCAGAGGGGTGTCAGAATCCTGGGGGGTACCCTCGGAGTAGGTGGGGAGGGTCACAACCGGCCCCAGTTCGGAGAGCCGGAGCTTGAGATCTTCAGCATTGAAGCGAACCAGCAGGATGCCCTTAGGGAGCGAGGCAGTGGTGAAATGACATAGGGTAAACAGATGGTTGTATGGTTGGTTAATAGACCGTGAATCAAATTGATCACATACTGATGCATTGTAAAAAGTTCAATCTGTAATTTTGGTAAAACATGCTTCCCTGACAATTCTTTGTAAATTGCAAAAGTAGATTTGAGTTACAATGGCTTGATTCAAGTCTGAGTCTAGTCACAAATATAACGACTATAGAAATAACTCGAAAACAAAACGGACAACTTGGAAAGACCAAGCAATTAACCAATCAACCAATACCTACCTGTTTGGTGATGAGGCGGTACTTCTGGAAGTCCTTGGGCCCCAGCTGGTCGTCGCGGGTCAGCCTGGTCACCTTCACCTCAGGCCACTTGGACTTGACCAGCTGAGAGCAGAACCTCAGCAGCACCCCTGCCACGCCCTTCCCCCTCTCCTGGGGGGCCACACGTAACCCCTCCACCAGCATGGTGTCACCGTCATCTATCACACACACCGACTCCAGGGCAATCTGTCGGGGGGGGGGGGGGGGGGGGGGGGACGAAGAAGAAGAAGAGAGGGATAAAGCAGAGGGGAAGAGAAAAACAAAGGGAGATTATGAATAACTGAATATATAAATTTTTGTGAGTCATTTTCTTGTCATTTTCTCATGGTTATTTCTAGGTAATAGAACTCTCAATGGTTCCAAAGTAGGGCATTTCTCGCCTCCATGGTTCCTTTAGGACACTTCTAACATGGATTATATTTCTATGGTAACACCCTTGTAATGCTCTTGTCACACCTTCTCACACCACTTTGCCCTGCTTACGTGCAAACCAGTAGTGTGGCGGCGGGTTGGTCTCGGACAGCCAGGCAGTGTAGCAGATACTGGTAGTTTCTAATACAGCCCTTGTACCAGCCTTTATAAACATGCTATAACACATTTATAGCACCATTTCTCACCACTTTGCCCTGCTTGCGTGCCAGTATGACGGTGCGGTTGCTCTTGGACAGCCAGGCCTGTTAGTGTTCATAACACTCTTATAACACCTTAATAGAACCCTTATAAACATGCTATAACAGGTTTATGACATACTTTATAACCTTTTCTCACCACTTTGCCCTGCTTGCGGGCCAGTATGACGGTGCGGTTGCTCTCGGACAGCCAGGCGGTGTAGCGGGTCGGCAGGTAGTCCAGCCCTCCGTAGATGTCTTGGCTCATGGCCATGATCTCATCAAAGTCCTCCTCCGTCGCCACGGTGAACTGGAGGCCTGTCTGGGGCGGAGACTCGGGGAGCTGGGGGCGGGGCAGGCTGTTCTCAATCTTCATCCTTACAGCTGGGAGGGAGGAGGAGGGAGGAGAGGAGAGAGAAAGTGGGGATGGAGGAGAGGAAAAAGGTTGGAGAAGGAAGGGAAGAAGAAGAGGAAGGAGAGAAAGGGAGTGAGAGAGAAAGGTGGAAAAAGGCAAGAGAGAGTGATAGATCGATGAAGAGATGGGGTAGAGAGAAGGTAGGAACGAGGGAGAGAGTAGCGTGAGAGGGAGATAGATTGATATAAAGAGAGAGATGAGGAAGAGAGAGAAAGATAAAGGTAGAGAGAGAGTGCAACATTTCTATTAGGGACCAAGAGTAGGAGTATAAAGCAAATGGATAGGATTGCACATCCTTATCTGCTGTAAATGAGAATATGATCTCATTCAATTAATCTGGTAAAGGTAGATATTATAGGTAAAGAAATGTAAGGTCACTAAAGTTCATATTCAGTTTAGAGTGATTAACACAATGTTTAGCAAATGTATATATTGTTGCTTTATGTAATAGGCCTATAAATGTAGGATCTTAATTTGATCACCCTTGATGCAGGAGATCTGCAATGCAGGAAATTTAAAACTTGTAGTGTATTTGAGGTTTTAAAAGGCTTCTGAAGTTTGTAATTTCCATTTAGACATTTTCGACGTGATTTTCCATTCCAATTGTTTTAATCAACCCCTACAAAAAATGTCTATGAATTATAATCCACTTAGGCTGCGTTTACACAGGCAACCCAATTCTGATCTTTTTCCACTAATTGGTCTTTTGACTAATCAGATCAGCTCTTTTGCAAATAACTGGGCATAAGATCAGAATTGGGCTGCCTGTGTACACGCAGACATAATAATTCACATTTCCTGTTGCTGCAGGATTATTTTCCTGCTGTGGCAAACTGGCTCAAATTAAGATCCTACATCCGTACTCATGATTTCCAGTGTTGTATTTGTGACGCTCAAGGTGCGGGTTGATGGTCAGTAGTAGACTATCTGTTGATAGTGATTGACGCTAGACTGGAGGTATAAGCACAGAGGACACACTGATTATTCACTTTTGACAGTGTTGAATGTCATCAATACAATATGTATAACAGTGAATAATCTGTGTGTCCTCTGTCCTTGTACCTCCAGTCTGGTGTCAATCACTATCAACAGATATGAGAATGAGGCATAACATTCAGCATCAAGTCTACTGACCATTAACCCGCCTGCACCTTGTGTGTCACAAATACAACCCTGGATATCATGTGTATTACAGAAAGAGAAAACATATAAATATGCTAAACATTGTATTAATCACTCCAAACTGAATATGAACTTTAGTGGTCTTAAGTTTACCCATTAGAGTCCTGGAGAGGGGAGGGGGAAGTTGGGACGGTTTTATGACTTAACACCCGGTCATAAATAGTTTGCAGAAAAGGACTCCTTTTGGTCTCTAGTATGGGAAGACTGAGATGTTCTTTGTTCCAAAGACTTTTTGCCACCAAAACTTTTACGTCAATAAAAGTGGACATTGGAACATTATTTGGAATGGTCAGTGGGGATCTAAAGAATAATCATGTCATATTGTTTATTATTTTGTGATATCATTAAGGATGGTATCAAGAACTAATTGTAACTCGGAAAGTGTACATATTCTACTTGTCAAGTTAAATGTTATATAAAATATATGACTAAGTATGAGAGTATTTTGGTTAAGATAGCAATATGAGTTTAGCCTTCTAATGAGATAATTGTTTTCTCATTAGAACGTTTGCCCAGTCAGTAACCAAGGGAACACAGACATTGTGTCTGCGTGATGGAACTCCCCCTTTTTACCTGAGGATAAAAGCCTTGGTAACGAAATGTACATTTAGACCAGAAAACATGAGAGTGGCGACTGCACGTTTAGAATGGTTCGAACTTTGAACCAGAAAGACCAGGAAACGTAAGACGTTAGTCCACACGTTTGAAATGGTGAGAAACTCTGAAACTCTCAATCTCTACACAAGAAGAAGGAACTCACTAGACCGTAGCGTTAACAGTCTGCAGCTGGCATGTAAAGTAGACTAGAACTTTCCCTAAAGACACGAGTTGGGAAGGACAATCCCATCTCAGACAGTCGTTGGTACATCTGAAGTATCTATTCTAACGAACACTCCATTCGAAGACAAGCCGAGTCTCACCGAAGTGTGGTGGACACTCAAACCCTTTTTGAGAAAGTGGTTCAACAGAGAGAAGACGATCAAGGACAGCTACGCGTAAATATGCATTGCATTTGTTATCCGAACGAGCGGTGGTTTCCAAATGTAACAACGATAAGTTGAATCTCTTTGTCTCTCCCTTTCACTCTCTTTCTATTGACCCCTCCTTCCCCTAACCAAGCAGTCATGCTGTTGTTAGTCCACTAGGGACCTGTTTTCATTGTATTACGTTAGTAATCAATAACCTATACCGTGTGTGTGTGTGTTTATGTATTCTGTGGTATTATTTAGTTCATTTGTAGTAAATAATTGAGCCAATTTGTGTATTGCTGATTCATCAATAAGGTTAGGGTTCTTGCAGGTTCAAGGATTATGTGACGTTCAGAATGAGACTGATGATGTAATGATTGGTAAGTGACTGTTATTGATATATAACATATATATATATACATACATATATATCTTCTAAGAGTTTAATTCGGGAGATGGTAACTCGTTAAACAACTTCTTCCATGGTGCCCCAAATTCCTAATGAGTTAATTGTTACATGATTAATTTAATTGAGTAACAATTAAACATAGTTAATTGATTTGATAAATAACAGTCATCACATTAATGCAAGTCACGTCACGACAACACTGTTTAGATGCCTCGGTTCTTTAAGGTTCACAACATTTCAACCACATCCCAGTAATTCACATCAATGGGTCAACTTTTACATCAATGGGTATTGGTCAGACAGAGTAAGTAGCTTCACAACACTTCAGCCACAGTGTATTGTGTATTGGTCAGGGAAGACATAAACTCTTAGAAAAAAGGGTTCCAAACGGGTTCTTCGGCTGTTCCATAGGATAACCCTTTTTGTTCCAGGGAGAACCCTTTTTGGTTCCACATAGAACCCTTTTGGGTTCCATGTAGAACCCTCTGTGGAAAGGTTCCTACATGGAACCCAAAAGGGTTCTACCAGCAACCAAATGGGTTCTAGATAGCACCTTTGTTTCTAAGAATGTAGACCTTTTAACTTGCTACCACATTCCAGTGTTTTGACCATGGTGGGTCTTGGTCAGGAAAAATACAGACAGCATGACCTCTAACCACACAGACAACACAACCCCTAACCGCACAGACAACACGACCCCTAACCGCACAGACAACACGACCCCTAACCACACAGACAACATGACCCCTAACCACACAGACGGCACTAGTGTGGTTTCTGGTCTGGTCATTGTCAGGACGCCAGGTCACTTTGCCCGTCCAGTTTGCATGTGGCACGGAATGAGGCGACTGGCATCCGTCCCCCTCCCACCCCGCTCTACCAACCTCCTACCCCCCTAATCCCTTTGGTAACCTCTTTGGATTCCTTGGAAAACACTGGCTCGCTCGGAAAACTAACACATCTTTCCAGGCTTGGGAAAGAATGGGGCGAGACGGGCGAGAGGAGAGGAGGGCTCAGGTCGTTGGAATGGGATTCCAGAAAGGTGCAGAGATGCTTGGGCGGTTAAAGACTGTTTGTGTGTGTGTGTGCGTGTGTGTTTGTGTGTGAGTGTGTCTCCGTCCATGTGTAATACAGTGGGGAAAAAAAGTATTTAGTCAGCCACCAATTGTGCAAGTTCTCCCACTTAAAAAGATGAGAGAGGCCTGTAATTTTAATCATAGGTGCACGTCAAATCCAGAAAATCACATTGTAGGATTTTTAATGAATTTATTAGCAAATTATGGTGGAAAATAAGTATTTGGTCACCTACAAACAAGCAAGATTTCTAGCTCTCACAGACCTGTAACTTCTTCTTTAAGAGGCTCCTCTGTCCTCCACTGGTTACCTGTATTAATGGCACCTGTTTGAACTTGTTATCAGTATAAAAGATACCTGTCCACAACCTCAAACAGTCACACTCCAAACTCCACTATGGCCAAGACCAAAGAGCTGTCAAAGGACACCAGAAACAAAATTGTAGACCTGCACCAGGCTGGGAAGACTGAAATCAACTGTGGGAGCAATTAGTAGGAAATGGAAGACATACAAGACCACTGATAATCTCCCTCGATCTGGGGCTCCACGCAAGATCTCACCCCGTGGGGTCAAAATGATCACAAGAACGGTGAGCAAAAATCCCAGAACCACACGGGGGACCTAGTGAATGACCTGCAGAGAGCTGGGACCAAAGTAACAAAGCCTACCATCAGTAACACACTACGCCGCCAGGGACTCAAATCCTGCAGTGCTAGACGTGTCCCCCTGCTTAAGACAGTACATGTCCAGGCCCGTCTGAAGTTTGCTAGAGTGCATTTGGATGATCCAGAAGAGGATTGGGAGAATGTCATATGGTCAGATGAAACCAAAATATAACTTTTTGGTAAAAACCCAACTCGTCGTGTTTGGAGGACAAAGAATGCTGAGTTGCATCCAAAGAACACCATACCTACTATGAAGCATGGGGGTGGAAACATCATGCTTTGGGGCTGTTTTTCTGCAAAGGGACCAGAACGACTGATCCGTGTAAAGGAAAGAATGAATGGGGCCATGTATCATGAGATTTTGAGTGAAAACCTCCTTCCATCAGTAAGGGCATTGAAGATGAAACGTGGCTGGTTTTTTAGCATGACAATGATCCCAAACACACTGCCCGGGCAACAAAGGAGTGGCTTCGTAAGAAGCATTTCAAGGTCCTGGAGTGGCCTAGCCAGTCTCCAGATCTCAACCCCATAGAAAATATTTGGAGGGAGTTGAAAGTCTGTGTTGCCCAGCGACAGCCCCAAAACATCACTGCTCTAGAGGAGATCTGCATGGAGGAATGGGCCAAAATACCAGCAACAGTGTGTGACAAACCTTGTGAAGAACTTACAGAAAACGTTTGACCTGTGTCATGG